TGGAGTATGTTCTACCACGACGCTGTAGGTAATTAATTATCTAACCTTTGTAATGATTAACTTACCGTATTTTGCTTAGGGATTTTTTGTTATGTCTTTGTTTCATGTTATCGATCAGATTATTACAGATATTATAGGTATGTATTATCCTCTTGTATTCAGTGAGAGAGATTTAAAGGAGGTAAGGGTTGTTACCCCCGGAGATTCAGGGAGGGGGTAGTAGGAAGTTTGTGGGGGGGGGGGTCCTCGGGGAGGCTGAGGCAGGTAACACATCTAAGACCATCGTTATAAACAAAGAACCACGAAACGGTACGTATAATTTTATAACAATCATTAATATGACATTATCCCAACTCATTATGTTAGTTAAACATTATTACACGTTCGGAACAGTTGTTATATCCTCAAGTAGTGTTGTTGAAAAATGATACATGCCTTTTAACTGTAGTCTATTACACTGTCGAGATTACAAAATGTGTAAATCGTCTACATAAGAAAGGAGACCCTAGACACAAACCCATTGGTGTCACACCCTCCCCGGTCATTGATTGACTTATCAGTCATTAAAAATACTCAACAAAACACTTTTTTTCTCCTCTGTAAATTTGTAGTTGGTGTTACACTGTTACACTCCCCCCCCCCCCCCCCTCGGGTGATAGTTCTAAAGTGTGCACAGTTAATAGCAAAGACGTTCATCTATTGTAAGTTATTAATATAGGTGGATTAACTCTTATCATTAATTGAACTGGCAAAAAGCATGTTTCTTCTATACATTTTGCAGCTTTTTGAAATGATGTCCTCTATAAGTAGCCTCTACGTCAAAAAACCAGCGGAATACCGAATACCTGTAAACAGCTAGAGAACAGCAACTAGAAATACAGGCGCCAATGAACATATATGTTTTTAAATAAACCGGGAGTGATCTCCCCTAAACTTTATCGAATATCTATAATATAATTCTCTTCTGGGAGACGTTAGAAAACAAGCTGTAAGCGCGCCTTGCAGTCCCCTCTCTTCCTCTCTAGGAAGTCTGGTGAGCTGTGTTCACGCTAAATGTTTACATTCGTAGAGCTGGGTTTAGTGACGGCTATTAGGGGCAGATAATTTAGTTTGAAACGATTTTAAACTTAGGGAAGGTAGCTAAGAGGGGGATGCTTTCACGGGGGGGGGGGGGGGGTTATCGTCCTTAACGACTTACTGATAGTGTTATAAAGCAAATATTTTCAGTGACAGCAGTGGTACTGTCGAATTCACAAATTATGAATTATGAAAAGTAGAAAATAAAACAACTAAATAGCGGCGTATGATACGCCGCGTGTCGGCTCGTTCTTAAATAAAACAACAGAGGATGGCAACTCGGGATATAGACATGATTTTTAATCCATTTTAAATACTTAAACTTTTTTAAATAGAATAAAATCTCGTAGAAAAAGAATTGCACACCAATATTATAAGTAATTTATAAATTTACATTACTTTTTTGAGAAATCGGAAATAGCGTAAATTACTACTTCTGGTCAACGGAAAATACTCAAAATTTGACAAAAGGTAGAGAATTAGATCTTTTACTTACGTGTGAAATTTCATTTATCTATCTGAAATAGTACTCAAGTTAGAGGCTTTTGAAAAATTCAAAGTAGAAAAAGTACCACTTCCGGTTATCGGAAATCGCTCAAAAGTTGATACGGAATTTCGATTTCGATATAATACTCATATATGAATCTTTATCAACCTAGCTGTAACGGTAGTCAAGTTATCGTGTTTACAAACACACACGCACAGACACACACACATACACAAAGACATACGGACAAGATTGCAAAACTATGTTTTTCCGACTCAGTGAGCCATAAAACGTCGAGATTTGCAAAAATCTCGATTTTTTTTCTTTTGGACGATTACAAGACTTTCTCTATACTTCGTATATACGAGAAAGTAAAAAAATAAGTGTTAGGTGTGTGCATTTCAAAACAAAATAGTCTATTACATCGAGGTTGTAATATTCATTCGCTACTTCGTTATAATCTAAACTAAAGTATGTAAATATTTTTTTATTGTCAAGTGCACAAATGAGATTGTTGTATAATACATATTTTTAAACATTGTATTTATTATGTAAAATAAACCATAATCGAAAATTTACTGCAGTGCTGATAAAAGTGTTTAAGAATTTCGTATCATTTGCCCAATGCGAAAAGTGAAAGAAAGACAACATACATAACATAACTTTACTACCATTAGTACTACAGTTAAGTTTTATAAATGATAGGCTTATCATATTAAATATATTATAAACCCAAAAGCCTATTTTTTAAAAAAAATCAAAATGGAATATTCATTCCAGAGATTCACTGACAAAGCGCTAAAATTAAAACAGAAAGGCCTTTAACATTAAATACAAACCAATATCGAAGCCATGTTAATATCCATCTAAAATATTCTTAAAGAATAAAAACGGCGTTGTCTCCAGGACTAAATTCCATCTGTAATATAACGCGAATCGCGCCTGTGTTGGGGGTACCCAGCGGTACCGGACACTGCCCGCCTATTCCATCCGATACCTGTCCGCTTAAACCTGACCCTAATTTATGACAGCTATCGACTCTCTGCGCGTTGATCAATCATGTTACGTGTAACCCGACCCACGCCCCGTGTGATATCAGTGGTTCTCTAGCTGTTGATATATAGTCCATATCAGTGGTTCTCTAGCTGTTGATATATAGTCCATTTCAGTGGTTCTCTAGCTGTTGATACATAGTCCGTTTCAGTGGTTCTCTAGCTGTTGATATATAGTCTATATCAGTAGTTCTCTGGCTGACAATGTGAGGGCCATAGCACTGATAAAAGTGGTTCTTTAGCTGTTGGTATCAGTGTTTCTTCCAGACTTTTTTTTCTCCGGAGGTGTTGATATTTTCGGGGGGGGGGGGGGGACGACGACAACAATCCCCGGTAGTGCCCCCCCCCCCCCCCCCCCGAAGAGGTGCCTGGAAGAAACTCTGGTTGGTATAAAGTCCATATCAGTAGTTCTCTGACTGTCAATGTGAGCTACATATCACTGATAAAAGTGGTTCTCTAGCTGTTAATGTGAGGTTCTTTGTTGGCAAGGTGAGCTCCATATTAGGGGTTCTCTTGCTATCGATATGAGTATGTGGTTCATATCAGTAGTTCTGCAGTTGTCAATATATAGTCAATATCAGTTTTCTAGCTGTAAATATATCGTCCATATCAGTGGTTCTCATGGTTCTCTAGCTGTAAATTTGAGGTCCATATCAGTGGTTCTCTAGCTATCTGTATGTGGTCCGTGATATATTTTAGTAGTTCTCTAGCTAGAAATGCGGGGCACATAAGATAACGGCTCTGTAGTTGTTAACGTTGAGTACGTCCAATGAAATAGCAGCAGTTCGCTATGGATTAATGCTGTTAGTGAAAGGGCACAGAATGTGATTATTGTAGGATCATTGATCACGGGTTAGATTTGAATCAATACTTGTTAACTCCAGACAAGGGAAGCTACTCACATATCTTGTTACATTGGACATAGCGTCAGCTAGAGCGATCAAAATGAAAAACTGGCCAAAATAGGATATGAATGGGCTTCAAAATGTCTCTACGTGATTCAGCAGTTTCACAATATTGTTTTCGCATTCCAGGTAGAGGTCGGTTCCCCCTCGAATAGTATTAAGGAGAATTAAAATAATAAACATCCATTCGTTTTTACTTTCTCGTATATCCGAAGTATAGAGAAAGTCTTGTAATCGTGAAAAAAAATAATCGAGATTTTTGCAAATCTTGACGATTTACAGCTCCCTGAGTCGGAAAAACATAGTTATGCAATCTTGTCCGTATGTGTATGTGTCTGTAAACACGATAACTTGAGTACCGTTATATATAAGTGTTTTATCAAAATCCGTATAAACTTTAGAGCGATTTCCGATAACCGGAAGTGTAACTTTTTTACTTTGAATTTTTCAACAGAACTAATTTTTTTGAGTACTATTTCTCTATCTATAGATCAATTTTATCTATACTATAGATAAACGAAATTTTATATGTAAGTAAAAGATCTAATTCTCTGCCTTCTGTCAAATTTTGAAATTTCCGTTGACCGGAAGTAGTAATGTACGCTATTTCCGATTTCTCAAAAAAAAAAAAAAAACGCACGTGAATTTATAAAGCACTAATAATATTCCGCACTATTATGCAAATTTTGTTTGGCGTTCACTTGGTGTGCAATTCTTTTGTCTACGAGATTTTATTCTATTTTTAAAACTTTAAGTATTTAAAATGGATTAAAAACAATGTCTTTATCTCGAGTTGCCATCCCCTGTTGTTTTAATTTATATAAGAATATTCCAGAAAGTTTAGGGGAGATCACTCCCGGTTTATTTAGTTTGGCATGGATAAAAATCGCGTCAAATTTGCTTTTATGTATAGCTGCAGTTTAAAAAATTAAGACAATGGGTTTTTTAATAAAATTAATGTTGTGAAATTTGCAAATGCAGCGAACTTGAAATAATCTTTTGCGTTTAAGGCTACTTTTCTATTCATTTCACAAATCCTCTTTTTCTAACGACGAACATTTGATAGGCTGTAATCCCCCCCCCCCCCCCCCCCCCCCAAATAAATACTATGCAAACCTAAACCTTCTAAGGAATGGGCCTAAGGATAGTGAATGCCTAGAATAGATTGCAATTTGCTGGTTTTCTATAGAAGAATGCCCAGGGAAAGTATATACACTATATAAGATCCCCCCGCCCAAGCTTTCTAATTTCTTCAAAATACCGCGTTTTTCGCTACCGATATCACGGCTGCGGGACGTTCCAACAGGGAGATGTTAAAAAATTACGGTAGAAACTAAACATAGACTTAACCAGGGAAAAAAAACTTTTAACAGACTAAAAACATATTTAATCATGTTACTTTTATTGCTAAATTTGATGCTCTTGTGCAAACAACAAAACCATTTAAAAAAAATTTCTTTATGGATTCTTTTTTTTAAAAAATAAACTTGGAGATTATAGTAACATTTAGAACACCACTGAAAATTATTTCTATTGATATTTTAAAACTTCAAACACTGAAGCCATAAACAAATACTAACTGCGAACAAAATAAAAAAAAAATAAAAAAAAGAGATTTTCTGATTAGTAAATTTAACAACAATGAAGGTTGTCTCAAATTGATGCAATAACCTTTGTTATTGTTTTAATAAATATTTGACACAAATAAGAAATAAAGAATTATATACATCTTGGATCACAAAATACGGAGGAAATAAACAGCCCCTTATCAGAAGCTTTATAAAAATCCACATATGATTAATTTATACCTTGATAACAAAGGTCTAATATTCTTAATATATGAGTTATACAGCATAATACAAGCATTCCATTTAACAGTAACACTTTAGAATTTAAAGGAATATGTACACATAGTGAATTGTACACAAAAGACCATCAAAATGGCTGTTGGTGGCATGCTTAATATATAGTTGTTCATTTAAACAAAACAAAAATACAATTATTTTCAAAACCAATCAAACATTAACATTAAAAATGTTTCTAGAAAAATGTGAAAGTCCTTAAGCTGATCAAAATATTAATGAATTGGTAGCCTGCAGACTTCCATAACATTTCTATAATTCTTTCAGCAGAGCAATAACACAAATAAATGATCACAACATAGTTATGTTGCTTCCAAATGATAGCTATGAAGTTATATGGTAGCTAAATCTTCAAATTTGAAGCAAAAGTAAAAACAGTGTATCCAATATCCAAAATGTTAAAAATCAAATAAGCTCCATTTTATTTAAATATTCAAACTGATAAATAAAATGCTATATCATTAAAATAAACAGCATTTATTTTTTGTGATAAATTTATTATATAGAATTTAAAAAAAAACAAAACAACAACCACCAATCATATAAAATGGTCTACATGCTGAATGGACCAATTATGATAAATTATAATAAAGATTGTGTTAATAATTATGCCTAATAAGTACCTAATTACACTATTATACATGGGTAAGTTCAACACACAGGTAATCAACTGATATTTACAAGTATAACATAAAAGTAGTGAACTAGTTTTGACTATTGTTATGGGAAGAATAATGTATAACAATCATTTAAAACCATTTACTGCAAGCAAAAACTAAAGCAGTAGAGTAACAAATACTGAACAAACAGTACAATGTCCACCTTGGCTAGAAACTTCTTGCACTAGTTTTTTTCATTCAGCCAAGTCTAAAACTCAGACTGACTGTACTGGTCATTTAAAACAACAAGTTATTTTAAAAACTTGCTATACTGTTATTACCACCCTAAAGAGAGCATAGGTCAGCCTTTAATGTGTATCCCCAAGTTGGAGCAGCTGCCAGACAGGATGGGGAAGTCACTGTAGCTGGTGTGTTGCTTCTGGTGGTCAAGACTGTCCTGTACAAGCAAAGTCTGACCACAGATGTAGCACTGGGACATCTGGCTCTCACTGGCCGAGGCTTTCAGTAGCCTGGACTTGACCACGGCTGCCTGGTGGACCTCCCAGAGCTCACTTTGTTTCTTGATGTCAGGGAGCAGGGCCAGCAACTCTGGGAAGATCTGCACAAAGCTTTTATCCCCCATCAGAAGCTGACAACTATAGTAGTACTCGCTTGCATCTATAGTCCCTTGCCGGAATTGTCCAGAAAAGGCTCTGAAATTCTCAAAGCCTTCAGGGATTTCAGATAAAGCTCCCCGAATGACTTCAATTAACTTGAGATTCCGTTCCTTGAAGTCAGGAGGTTGGATGTAAACAAAGTTAGACTTGAAGCCAGGTGGTGGGGGTGTTGTTATAGATGGAGCTAGCTTGAAGCCGGGTGGAGCTGAGATGGGGGTCAATGGAGACTGGGGTTCAGGTGAGAAACCCGGGGGAGGTTTGGGTGGCTGGACAGAGGTGGACATGGTGTGTAGAGAAGGGAAATTATCTATGTCATTCAGAGGGGGAATTGATATGGGCTCTTTTGGCTTCTTTTCAATTTTCTTCTCAGGTGCAGTCTTTGGCTCTGGGGCTACTTCAACAGGTGGATTGTCAAACCAGTCTGTTGGTTTAGGTGGCTTGCTTGAGACTTTAGCAACAATTTTTGGTGCTTCTTCTGTGTCCTTTGTCACTAGAGCCAAAGCTATGTCATTCAATGATGCATTGGTATTTGACACAACTTTAGCTGCCTGTTGACTTGCGGGCTTTGCTTCTTTTTTATTTTTCTTCTTCTTCTTTTTGTCATTCACCACTTCAACTTTAGTACTGCGAGTAGGCAGCCCAGGAAAATCATTGTTGTTAGCAGGTTCAATGGTATCAGCAGGCTTCCTGTACACCTCTTCAACTTTTGTAGTTTCAGCTTTTTGCACTGAGTCCTCATATGACTTATAATAGCTGTCTGGTAACTCAAACATGCTGTCGGCATACTTTTCAGACTTTGGCTTGACTGCAGGTTTTTGCTCACTGTCATTTTTATTGTACTGCTTGGACCTGTCAATCAAAGAATTCCCAAACACATTCCTCTTCTGCTTGCCAGCATCCAGGGAAGGGAACTCATTCTCATCAGTGATGGCCTTGGTCAGAGCTGGTGACTTCTTGTGATGGTTGACCACGGCCTGGCTGCTGGGAGCCACAACTTGCACTTTGCTGGCGGGCTGAGATTTTTTCACCCAGTTGGCAGAGTTGGTCAAGGATGACAACCCATTAGTGGACACACTATCTCCCAGTGCTGGATACTCATCCTCTGTATTTTTAGGGGCTGCTGAAGACCACCTTTCTCGTGGGGCTTTGCTGACAGATCCCAGAGAAACAGGTTTAGATTCTTTTTTTACTTGAACTGGAGCTGGTTGTTTGACTTCAGCCACTGGGTTCACTAAGGATGAATACTGCTTAACAGGAAGATGGCCTTGCTTTTTAGAATCATTTGAAGAAAAACTTTTTGATGACAGGCTTGGGAACTCTTCTTCGTGAGTTCTTGCTTTGCTGAAGTTGTTTTGGGGAAATGATGCGTGAACAGGAACAGCTTTGCCATTAAGGGAGGGGAAATCATGGATGGGATCTGGGACACGCTCCTCTACTGGAGGGTGGCTTTGTGCAGAGTTAGCCAATTCTTTAGATGCTTCTAAGGCTCGGTGCAAGTCTTCATCATATTCACGGTCACGTCTGGGGGGGAAAAAAAGAGTTATGGTAACAAACTGGCTTATTAAACATTTAAAGTGCAGCTGTAGACAAATTATGTATTGGTAGGCAGGGATTTTAAAAGTAACTTCCTAGTGAATACAGTCATACAAAGTTTATTTCACCCCACAATTGTATACAAAGTTGAATAGAAATTAATTAAAAACAACCTACTACTAAAATAATACTGAGCTAAGCTAGTTTACTATTAAGCTTTGACTCATACCTTCTGTTAAATCTGTCATTATTGCCTCGACTATTTTGAGAAGAACCATCAAATTCATCACCTATAAGAATTATTTCAAATATTGAAACAAGGAAATCTTAAATTAGTAAATATCTTTTTTAAAGATGAAAAAAAGTTTTTGTTTCAGTAAACAGTAGTAACCTTACCTCCCCTGTTGTTTCCTTGCCTCCTTGGTGGGAGCTGGAAATCCAGCTCAATAGTTCTTGCTTCCCTTGACTGGGCTTTAGATAGGTTCTTGTTGTGTACTTGTGCCTTGTGGGCCTTTAGATCTATGTCTGAGGCAAAGGCGTGGGTGAAACGTGTTGATTGATTTGCACAATCCCCCTCTGTGCATAAATGGTGAGAATCACCAAAGTGCTTTACTAAATCAGAGTACTGACTGAAAAAAATATATGAATTCTTTAAAAAAAAAATTGTAACGTAAATTTTAGAAATGATTGTATTTTACTGTAACGTAAATTTTAGAAATAATTGTATTTTAATAACACTCCAGACTAAACTTTATGTGTACCATAAGCTTTGGGGGTTCTTTTAAAGTTAGAGCTCACTTATAAATGATGTCAAACAAAGTGGGAGGAGAGTGGGAAGAGAGAGAAATCAAATCTTTGAGACAATTGAGGAGAAATAACATGTTTATTTACATTATAATTATGGCCTTATGGAGTTTTGCATTTTTGTGATGTTTGATGAATGGAGGTGAATTAAACTAAAATAACATGACTCAGTGGTTGATGTATGAACTACAATGCAATTAAAAACCTACTCATAATAAGCGTTGGATCCATGTTGATCACAAAAATGACAAAAATAATGATCTTTTCGTAAATGTTTCAATAATTCATCTTTATCATTGTAGCGTGCATCACAAAATTCACAGAGAGGATGGCCTTTATAGGATTTGTCATCTTCATCTCCAACTCGTCTATGACCAGCCAAATCTTTACGAGAATAGAACTTCCTTTGATGAGGAAATATCTGAAAACATAAGAGTATGTTTAAACAAGGTTTCTACAACTCCCTGAAATGTGATAGCAGGATTCACTTCTGTGACATTGCAGTACATAATAATCATTAAAAAAGTTTTAAAAAACCCACGTTTTCTGATTGAACTAAAAAGTAGAAAATAAATGCTATACATCACAATAATGCAAGCGATCACTCTACTATAAGCGATGAAAAAGCTGGGGCGCCGAAGTAAAAGTTATATTACTATTGATTAGATAATACTATTGACTTTTATTAGGGAGCTTGTAGAGAGTCAACAGTATTAGAAACTGTAAGAAAATCACGGCGCCCCACGTTTTTCATCGCTTATAGTAGAGTCATCGCTTGCATTATTGTGATGTATAGCATTTATTTTCTACTTTTTAGTTCAATCAGAAAATGTGGGTTTTTTTTAAACTTTTTTAATGATTATTATTTTCTACTTTTTAGTCTTTGTCTGTTTGCATTGAAATCTTGCAATCGATTTTATCTTTTCACTTTTTTTTTGGGTAAACGAAGACAACTCGTAAAAAGACAACTCGTAAAAAACACGTTGTGTGAATACGTTACTGACTAGAACACATAGATTTGAACCCGTGTCGAGTGGGTTAGCAATCGTGTGCCCAACCACTCGACCATATCGTCTCCCCCATACTGGCCACCAGTTGTTACGTTCTGGTTGTTTGTAGACAAACAACGTGTGACAACTACTCAGTAAGCAAAAAGAGGGAGAGTACCGAACCTTGTTTTCATCAAATTACAGTTACTGGGTTATGTCCCTTTTTCCCCCACGTTTTTTGTACAATTATATAGGGGTATAAAATGATCAATAAAATGTTTCCATGGATCAATTTAGTAATAATAACAGTGGAATATTCTATTGTCATCCAAAACAAAGCTTCCCTGAAAATTTCAGCGCGCTAGCTAACTGGGAAGTGCCCGAAATTTCGATCGCAAGATTTGATTGGAAAAACAAACAAACAAACAAACAGAGGCGAAAGCAAGTTAAAGAAAACGTGGGAACAAATTAATCATACCAGTACCATATAATAGCTGAAAAGCACACCTATTCAATTTTAATTTGGGTAAGATGTAATGTAAAATAAAATAAACTTGATTCTATTTTGTGTAGCAAAAAGTTAAACCAACCTTTAAATGTGAAACACACAAGTCACAAGCAAATAACTGATGATCTCTTCTCATGTGTGTCTGTAACTGTGCAAATGTTTTGTCTGCTCCTCTATCATGGCACAGCTTACAACGATATTCCAGTAACACTAGATATCTTTCCTCAACCTTCTCATCTTCAAAGAATATTTTGTATTTTCGATTTGGGATGCAATTTCTCAAGTTTATATCCTTAAATGGCACTTTGTTATAAACAAATGCAACCTGAAATTAGAAATAAAATCAATTATTAATTATCTGGTAAAACATAAAATAGTAGAAATGAAGTTGGAACATTTAATGGTATTTTATGCCAACAACTAAAAAAAAAGGCTTATTAGCTAGCAGCACTAACCCAATAGTCGTAGTAAAACCGTATTACAAAAGAAATGGCAATTTTTTTCTTTTTTTAAATAAATGCATTATCAAATATAATGGTACATTGTCTGCAGAAAGCCCGCAAATTTAAATTTTAAAAAGTTATTTGATGTATCTTTCCAAAGCTCTTAGATCTAGTAAGGAAGAAAAAACTAAATGTGGAAACTTTATTCAGTTAAGAGATATAAACTTTAAAAGAAACTAAAACCAAAACTAAACTGACAGATTACAAAAAATAAACATAGGCCAGCAATTATAAATGTTAGATTGCTAACTCAAAAGTCTGAGTTCGAATCTGGGTTCAAGTCAGTAGAACACCCCTGAGTCCACCCAGCTCTAATGAACACACATAGCAAAAAATCGGGAGTCCTGATTTCAATTCAGTCTCATTCAGAAACTAGTTGACAGAGAAAAAAAAAGTATGGCAATACTCCAAAACCATTCTACATGAGACATTCTAGTATTAGTAACTGTTATTGATTGTTTTTACAGTAATTTAATAGTTAAAACATTTTTCCCACGTGCCCAACGCCTGTCCCATATAACTGTCTTACAAATAGAATCTATGCTGTGACTCACTCAGCTCGCCTCTAACCAGCAAAGTCACATCTGCATCACTAAGCTTTGCCTTTAGACAATGTCTTATCCCCCCCCCCCCCCAACTTTCCATTTTCACCCGCAACTGCCTACTTGACCTTTTTTTTTTACTCATTCCATTTTCACCAACCCCTTTTACGCTAAAATCTTTTGTCTACATTTTCTCAGACCAACCAGGCATCCTATCTCTTTTCAATAGTGGGCTAATGTTTTACTTTACGTTTTCATAGTGTTTTTAGTTTATAGAATTAGATGACAAGATAAATTCTATTAGCCTAGGCCCTATAATTTATGTTTTAACTCTTAATTCCTATTTAATAAAAAAAAATGTGTGTTGCCATTTGTTGTAATGTGAGAGTCCAAAAATGTCAACAAAAACCATTTTTTAAAATTAACTTTTTTTAGTTTTAGTAAAAAAAAAAAAAAACCCCTTAACTCATAAATAGAAACTATTAAACTATTTTAATATTTTAATGTAACCTTTTAGCTAAGTGCTGACTGGTTTATGTTTTGCCATTAAGTCAACTCTAGGTCACTTCATCAGGGGTGGTGTAAAAATAGAAACTAGCAAACCAAGCAACATATAAAATTCTAAAAAGAATACCTGAAAGAGAAAACAAAGTGCTTGACATGGAAGTGTTCATAAATGAACAGTAGTTTATGTGCAGGCACTGTGTTCGCTATAGTTAGGGGCCTATATTAATATTTATATTATGTTAGTTACTCTAGATTCTGATTAGCCTACAGATCTAAGATCTCTAGATTTAACAGAAGTCTAGATCTAGATCACAAAAAAGGAAAGTGAATTTCACTTTCACTTTTGAGTTTGGGCCTACATTTTAGTTTTTAAAAATTAGAAAGCTTTCTTAGAATTTAGGCCTACGAAGCCTATTATTAGAAACTTAAATTATTATTAGAAACATAAATAATAAATGAACAGTAGTTTACGTGCAGGCACTGTGTTCGCTATAGTTATATTAATATATTTAGGCCTAGATCTATATATATAATATATATAATATGATGTTAGTTACTCTAGATTAGCCTACAGATCTAATCTAGATTTAGATCTAATCTAGAAATCTAGTCTAGATTTAGATATCTAGATCTTAGATCTAGAAATCTAGATCTAGATCACAAAAAAGGAAAGTGAATTTCACTTTCACTTTTGAGCCTACATTTTAGTTTTTAAAAATTAGAATTAAGAAAGCTTTCTTAGAATTTAGGCCTACGAAGCCTATTATTAGAAACTGATCTAAACGATTTTAATTAATAAAGGTTAAAGTCATAAGTCAAACATACTTGTGGCATTGGACTTCTGCATATTGGACAATCCATCTGCTCACATAATACTCGCATTCTTGTTGAACAGCGATAACAAACTGGATGGTCGCATGGTCCTATCGCGTACACTTCAAAAATATCATGGCACACAGTACACGTTAATTCAACACTTTCTGACCGATCTATGCTTGTGTGGCTCATTTTTATTAAAAGGTCACTTTTCAGGTGCAAATTACATCTAGATCTAGTATTAGAAAATTGAAGTAGTTTAATCAGACGTGGCGCATTCTTATATTCAACAGACCGGTGACTGTCCTAATAATTTGCCCTGGTGGTGCAACTAATCACAGGAAGTACGTCACACTGTACTAAAAATAAGAATCTAAAATTAAAATACTCAGGCCCATTTTGCCTAACAAAATATAGAATCTAGATTCTATGTACAAAATGCATGCAAGTCTTCCATTGCTGCTACATAAAAACAAGCTTAATAAAGTCCACATCAACCGTAGGCCTAAATTAATTATTTGAAAAAAAAATATGTTGGTCCCACCAGTAAAACATTTTACGTTAGCCTACTGTCTTCTATTTTTTAGGCCAAGATCTATCTATACTCGTTCGACGTTTCCCCACCACATGCATGATGTTATAGTTACATCTAATGTGTAAACATGTGTCTATTAAAGTATTACTTTAATGGGGAATAATAATCCGGAACCATTAACGTCATTTTCAGAAGTAGACCTACAGTCAGAGGTATAAGTCCTCATACATAGTCACGTAGGCCTATTATAAAGATAGGTATGTTTTGTATATATATAAATATAAATATATATATATATATATATATATATATATATATATATATATATATATATATATATATGCGTTACACGATTTTGCCCTATGTCCTATGTCAGATTGTTAATGTTAAGTGTAATTTATTTTAGTAAGGTTTATTTGTAAATCAACAGTCGTTTTTTATCGGGGTATCACACAAATGATGGGCTTTTAAAAAAATCAGTCAATTTTCTTTAAGCATTTTATTTTTTTCTACCCCGTTATGAACACATTAGTCACAATAACTGTGTGTACGTGTAATAAGTAATATTGATGAATTTGGCTATTGCACAACAGTAGGTCTAGTAGCTAAAGCCAGAGGCCCAAAAGCACACCCACAATGATTTCTAAAATATAAGTTAAAAAAGCACTGAAAGAAAACACGTTTACCACGAAAATCGGAATTACTAAGGCTGAAAAACTAAATGTCAAAATTGGGGTTGTAATTGCAATACAATATTTACAGTTAAATAAATATTAAATTTAAAAAATTTCCTTTTAAATTTGATGATATTATTTTACATTCGTTAAACTATGCTTTCTTTTTAATTTCCCGCATAATTATGACGTCAACAATTCATGTATGCGCATCCAAAATAGAAAACTAAAATGTCTACCATTACTGGAGGTGCATTTGGAGCTGGTAAAGCTGGGGCACCGTTTGACCCTATTCAATATGTCAAAAAACCACAAGTTATTCTCAGAGCTGTCAGCTTGGTACGGATATGCATAGTGTACTTGAACGTGATTGCATTGAGTCGATAGGGCCTATATTTTTCCTCCATTTGTAAACATCATCAATATTTATTTACGCCTTTTTTTTTTGCTTTGCGACTTTGGTCCCGTGATTCTGACAATTTCCCGTATTCTAAGAGATCGAGTCCCGTGTAGACTTTTTTTTTTTGTGATTTGTAAAACATTGACAATTAGGCCTATAAACTAGAATGATTCTAGATATATATTTTAAGTGGCCAAGGTTATTCCCAGCTGACTGTGAATAGCCCAACGGGGTAAAACTCCATTTTAGCTAGCCTATTTTATTCTCCCCCCCCCCCCCCCGCTTCACGTTCACCCCCAGTTGAGCGTATTTTAATATTTTATTATAAACACAACCGAAACACACAAAAACATTAGGAAAACACTAGATCTCCTTTTTTTATGAATGTGATTTTTAATTAGAAAATGTAAAAAAAAAACATAAAAAGCTTTAGAACTGTTCCAATTAAATATCATGTGATCGTCAGCGGGAGAAAAATCCTAACACGGTCGAGGGTTCACAGTGAGTTCACATATCAGCATACGTCATAGCTCGGGCAATAGCCATTTGAAATTGTGTTGGCCTCAGTTTTGGGGTCATTGCAAGCTCATAAATGTTTATTGTTTATTTATAGTATCATGCCTGGGAGATAATTGTAACAATACAAAATTAACTGCCTTGCAATTGTGAGTACGTACTTCACCCATTGCCATGAAAATTCTAACTGACACACGAACATAGATCTAGCACATTCAATAAAATATGCTAAAACAGAGTTTTACCTCTCAACTGTCCAAATACGGCCATTCCCAATATGTCACAATAATAAAAGCATTTAGGCCTACCTATTTTGACTGGGGAGTGAGGTAGGCCTATACTCAAGTATAGATTAATAGAGCAGTAGGCCTACTATTTTTTATTGTTACATTTTCATTAAAAAAATATTAGGTAGGCCCTATGTTAAGTTTAGCTTTTAGGCCCATATCTCTCTGCTACATCGGTCATAGATGAACTGATCAATTATCATTATGCGCTGTAATTAAATCTATAGGCCTATTACGTAGATTTTCCCACTAAATCTAAAATTTACCCAATTTTAAATTTAAACATGACCACTGAATGATAGACATCCGTATTTAATCCATTAGGCACTAATTTTGAAGTTTTTAGTTAGTTTTAAACAAAATTACTTAATTTAATATTTGTCACTCACTGCCATGGACAACACACCTCTCCAAGACAACTCTTCTTACGCTTGAAGCTAAAGATAGCCACAAATCTGGTTAGACTTTTTAAGTGGCCATGCACCCATAGTCCTCACTAGTGATCACCTAATAGCGGTTACGTGGTTTAAATAAATAAATAAATTTGGTTGTCATTCAAAAGCCATCATTTATAAAAAAGTGGTTAGCAATATTTGATTTCTTTTTACATAGACTGATAAACCTAATAGTTCTACAGACTTCATTTCATTTTTGTACTCTTCAGGTTGATAGTTAAAAAGTTCTAGTATTTTTAATGAAACCAACTTTTAAATTTAGCCTTCATTTTCCAACGCAAATTTTGAAATGCTTTTCTGGCACATATAGCCTTGCAACCTATAGTTTGTTGTTATAGCGTGAAAACCCCGCCATTTTGCTCGTGGTAAACATTTTTAATAGTAATTCATAGAAGGTCACTGGAATTTGGCCAAAAAATTGTCGGAAGTCATGCGTCCGGTCTGGACGCCATATTGTTGTTAGCAACCGACCACGTCTCCAAGTTAGCGAGTAATACTACTACTAGTCTAATTAATACTTGTAGGCCCCTAGTAATTTTTAAATTATTAATATTAATTATGCATCACTTTAGTTAGTAGTTCACATTGCTATTCAACAGTCCTTTACCATTTAAAATTCGCATAGAACAAATATCAGGTGATATACAGATATAGGATGTCCTTTTTAATAAACTATAATTCACAGTTCCATCAGTCATACTTTCCCCAAGTTGTTTTTTCTCTTAGCAAAGATCTAAGGGGAAGGTCTTTTTTTTTTTTTTTTGCAGATATGCCATTAATCACATCACTAACTATTAAAAATTATCAAACGTAACTCTTTCATGAACAATTGGAAAAAATAAAATTTTAATAATAGGGGGTATAAATTAATTAAGTGTCAAAAGACAAGGCATCCTATGGGTTTGAACCCGCACCTTTCAGCACATTAGCCACAATTTCCCCTCAACCACACAGTTTCATGCTTACTTTGGCGTTTTTAACATTAAATCTATCAAAAAAAGTCACGACTCTGAATAGCCCTAATACGGCTATTCCCAGTCGACTGGGAATAGACACTTCAATTTTAAATAGAAAGAATGTGGGGGAAAAGCAGTCTGAAGATAACATAAAAGCTGACATTTTATTTGTAGTTAAATTTTATAATTTTAGACGGGGTTAGAAGAAAGTATGACAAAATATTTTTAGAGGGTTTCATCTATGTGTTACTTCAATTTAAACAATGCCTGCGCTATATTTCTTGGATCATATTTATCGGGGCACAGGTTTACCTACACTACCACCTAGCACACCTCATGGGGTGGTGTATGAAAGCCTTAACCCTTTGAACCCGGGCCTCCCTAGCCTAATATCTCCCATTTCCTGAGCTCCCAGGCCCAAACCAATTTTCACACATTGCTTTTTATGTATATAGATTATATAGCTTTTTTTTATTGCAGATTGGCTAATCTTATAGTAGTTAGGACTATTCCTAACTTCTATAGTCCTAATTTCTATTATAAGAACTTTTTTTTTTTGATGAAATATTAGTAAATAATGGACATGAATTGAATAGAAATGTTTATTAATACAACAAAGAATGCTAATGAATGTAATTTTTTTTTGTGGATGATGTGTGCTGAATAAAGGTAATGAGAATGTGACTAGGTGTAGTGAATGTAGTATAAAACAAGTTGCAAAACAAATCTGTAAAGAAGTTGTAATGTTTTTAGAACTGTATGTGTATGTAGGCCTAAACTGTGTTGATTTTTTTTCTTCCTGGTCGGTTCTGTTTATATGGATTGAAAACATATTTTTATATTTGAAAACTGTGCACTAGTTTATTTTACAATAGTAGTAGTAGTGTCAAATCAAAGTGAAGACAAATAACAAACTTAACTATCTTACTATTTACCAGTGCATTTTACCAAGACTAGTAGATTGTAAAAATCAAAACAAACGTTTATTTTTTAAAGGTCCTAATGATTGCTACTGAATTCATTACATAAATAACAATCTATATATATAATTCTCTTCTTGGAGACGTTAGAAAACACCAAGCTGTAAGCGTGTCTTGCAGTCCCCTCTCTTCCTCTCTAGGAAGTCTTGTGAGCTGTGGTTCACGCTAAATGTTTACAATCGTAGAGCCGGGTTTAGTGACGGCTATTAGGGGCAGATAATTTAGATTGAAACGATTTTAAACTTAGAGGGGGGGGTGTGGGGGGAGGGGGTCTCGTCCTTAACGACTTACTGTTAGTGTTTTAAAGCAAATATTTTCAGTGACAGCAGTGGAGCTGTCGAATTCACAAATTATGAATTACTGTAAAGTAGAAAATAAAACTAAATAGCGCCGTATGATACGCCGCGGGTCGGCTTGTACATAATAAATATGAAAACTCTTAAACTTAAAGGTTTGTTATTTAGAAGAAGAGCAAGTTAATAACCATAGCCATTTTTATAGATACATTATATACTTTTACATAATTGTATGATACTTCTGTGTTTGTCTACAAGGTAATATCAGTTTGGTATCAAGGTTACTTACCAGTAACATAGGGTGAGGTTCATGGTTGGCAAAGCAATATTAGCAAGATGTTACTCTTGTACTGCCTTGTTTGTGAAAATTTAAGTTCCTTGTATAATACAGGTCTATCAAGGTGAAAACTGAATTCCTAACAAGCCTGTTTCTTTTCTTTACTTACAGATATTTTCTATTGTTGTGTTTGGCTGTATTTCTTCGGGGGGATGGTTTGCCCATAATTGTGTAATGAATAATGACGACAATGCTTGCGGCTATGGAACTGGCATAGGAGTCTTAGCATTTCTCCTATGTCTTGGATTTTTAATTGTAGATGCATTGTTTGAAAACCTAAGCAGTGTGCAGCACAGGAAATATGCTGTTTTGGCAGATCTAGGAATATCAGGTAGAATTCGTTGTTAATTTTAATAAAATATTAGTATTTGAATTGAAACTATTAGTATTACTTATTAGTTAAATTTTTTGTGAAACCAAAGCTGTAAAGTGTCTTTATACATTAAAAAAATTGAATTTCTAATAGGGCTCTGGACATTTCTGTGGTTTGTTGGTTTCTGCTACCTGACTGATGCTTGGAGAAAAACTGATAGCAAAATCCACGGGCGTGATAATGTGCAAGCTGCCATTGCCTTCTCTTTTTTCTCCATCTTCACTTGGGTAAGTTTTTATGGTTCAGTAAGCATTTTCTCTACATAACGCAGTTATGTTCTGCTTCTGAGTGTTTGAAAGACAAACTAAACTCCTTTGGTGTTTTATTACACATTTTAGATGGGCCATTATTTCTGATTTGGTAATGAGATACAATTACAATACGTAGCATTTTTTCATGAACATCAGTAACATTTAGTTTCCATCAGTTTATGGAGAACCTACTGAATAATTGTTTTTTTTTTAACCATGTAAAATTTGTTAGTTTTTTTTTTTTATAACTTTTAGGGAGGGCTGACTTTTCTGGCTGTTCGTCGATACCGTCTTGGTGCTCAAGAAGCTTTTGCTTCTGGATATGACCAGGATCCCAATGCCTCATCTCCTTACAGTTCCTTCCCTGGTAGTGACACTGGAGACCCTTATCAGCAGCCACCATTCAGCCAACAAAAGGAAACTCCTGACTATCAGCAACCAACATATTGATTCTAGTCACCTTTTATCCAGTTATTTCAATTGTGTAGAAGTGGAATGTTTGAACGTAACTTAAACCAGGGATTTGTTAGTTAATGTTAGATGTGTAAGTTGTAGTTACATACAGTATGGTCAACATTTATCAAATTTGTGTGTAGTTAGATGTGTTTTGGTCATGTATGTTTAGCTACCTGTAAATTTTTTATTTGTTGTGAAGTCATCAGGCTTTACAATGTTTGATAATTTGCATACACATTAGTAAGAAAAATTTAGTCTCAACAACTGAAAAAGGTATTGATATTGAGGATGCTAATGTTATCTTGTTTTCTTAATTAAATAAATAATTACCTTATGTATGAAATGATCAGTGAAATATCTGTAAGTTAATTTTTTTTTTCCCAACTATAAATGAAATGCTAAAATAATAGGTATAAATAATAATAGAGAAATGTTTTCTTCCCTTAACTTTTTAAAATCTGTATTCAATACCAAAATGAAAGTGACTCTTATACATCATGGACTTTTCATCTTTTCGGCTTATTGTAACAGTTATTTCTCTTGTAAAACAGAATACAATGTATCCTCTTTGTTTAAAATATGTTAGATCAAAAACTAATTTATGAATTTTTTAACATTGTTCTAATAATTGTTGACATAACTTCAAATGCATACTGCTTGTATATCCCATCAACACTGATTAATTTAAACAAAACAAACTCATTTAATTTAAATCATGAGATACTGATTTAACCTTCATCAACACATTGTGTTATCAGATTTACTTTAATTTTTACAATATTTGCTGGTTATTAACATTTTTGTTTTTGTAAACTTACATTTTGTTTATACAGTTCATTTAATTAAGCATTTTATTTAATAATCTTATTAATGCTAAATATGTAACTTCCTATGACTCACAGAAGCCAGAAAAAAATTGCAGGATATTAATTACTTACTAACAATATCATTTCAAAACAATTTGTGAGGTTTCAACACTTTGCTTATGCCTCTTATGGTGGAATAGGAGAAATAATTTTAAACAGGTAATTGTTAATATTTTAAAGATCTGCTTGTAAAGCATTAAATCATCCTATTTATGTTCTTTAAGGTAAAAGCATTGTCATCTTTTATACAACTTGGGAATTACTTACTGGGATCTAATCCCCTCAAAATTTAGATATTAATTTTTTTAAATGTAATTACCAACCATAAACATTAAATATTTATCCAAAAAATGATCTCAGAATAGTATACAGTTATTTGATCTACTATTAGTAAAGTAACTGTTTTTAAAGTACTAGTTTTTTATAGTCCTATAGGCTATCTTTGTAAATTTAAATAATGATTTGTAACAGAATTAGTATTTGAGAGTTTACAAAGCTGATAGCAAAAAACATAATTGCTGACTGTCTTTTCATTTTGTTTTTATGCTTAACAAGCAATACTTGTCCTGTGCAAACAATTCTTTAGCTGTTGATTAAAAAAGTATTTGCAAAAAGAAAAACGAAATAGTTCTTACCATTCCAGCTTTTGTATGAATGAATGACAGTCAATAACAATGCAACTATTTAGCTATACATATGTAGCTTCTGTACTCTCTTTGGCTTTAGTCAGGTGTTTTCTTAAATTTGTTACAATATTTTAAAAAATATCTAATCAGTCTATATAGACCTTTTGGAAAAAATAAATGTTTTTTTTTAAATTATTATTTATACTTCACTGTTAGTTTAAATGGGTGATTTGTACTTTGAGGAATATATACTGTTGTTTAATTCTTGAACTATGTGCACTTTTTTGTTTGCATTTCTGTGATTAACTTTAAAATGTTTTCAATTTAAAACAGTCTTTTCTTTTCCCCCATCCTGTTTAAGCTTTATTTTGCTCAAATTGAGTTTTTTCGTTGTACATTAATTATTTAAAATGTTATTTCTTGTACATTTATTCAAGAAAAATGAATTCTGGTTGTGCATTGCAATTTTCTTTTGCTTGCTACTCATAAGATTGATATTTCCAAAATATTTATCATGATTCTATAAAAGCAAAGGCTTTTAGTATGAAACCGATACATTTTGGTAGAGAAGTTTTGACATTAAAAAAAATTATAAATATTTGATATTCAAAATTTTTAGTTAAGTAAACTGAACTAAAGCTTAAAACCATTTAGTCTAATTGATCCCAGTAACCATATAAACCATAAGTTTTAAAAAGATATTTGCCCTCCATAGCTTTAACATTATCCATTTGTTTAAGTTTAATCATTGTTTTCAGTTTAAATAAAAAGTCTACAGATTGTGTTGCAATTTACTGCAGTAATCTTTTAGCTTTTGTGCATATTTCATTATGTGATATTATTTGATGTCATAATAATCAACAGTAGAATGTTTTAAGTAATTCTTTACCAATGTCAATAGTGTTGATGGCTTGTGTATTCTTTTAGACTGAGATTAATCATTTTCATTCCACAATAAACCATCTCCTAATCCACGAGCATTTCTTTCTTTAAAATTATTACATTCCATTGCTTTTATGTTTTTTTCCAAATTTTTCCCATTTTATCTTCAATCGGATTTGTATTTAAAATAAGCATTCATCAGTCATCAACATTATCTTTGAGATTAAATGATATGAGAACTAGAATAAAAATAATCTTGAAATTAGGATATAAATTATTTTTTATAAATTAAGGTGAATATGTCAATGTCAAATTCTGTGTGTAGTATTTACCATTTTCTAGTTTAGTCTGTTCATGGTCATATAGGATTTTTTAAATTCTTATTCTGACAATTAAAAAAAAATGTAATATTAATAAGAGGAACAATATTGCTAGACTAGACATGACAGGCGTCAAAGCATGTTTTGTGAGTGAAGCTTTGTACTTTTAATCACTTAGTAGAAGTAAAAAAAATTGTACACAGCGGTGAAGAAAAAAAAACAGAAAAAAAAATGTTTGGTGTGATTAGCATGGCTTCAATGATGATACCTTTAGGTTTTGAGACACCCCAGAACCTGTAGGTTGAGTTGTGCAGTAAGATTCATTCACATTTTGATACATATTTTATTTGTTTATTAATATTTGTACACACTTTTTGAAAGCTTTACCATTTTACCAAGCAGACTTCTATAGCTTCTATCATAGTTAAATTAGGGTTCCTATTTTGTTAGCGAAATTCAAAGAGTAAAACATTTCTCTAGATTTGATGCAATATTTTATCAACTACCTACAACAAAGATAGTTTGCTAATGCAGTATCAATGCAACCATTAAATTATCAAGGCATTTAATATAGCAAACTAATATTTTTTTGAGTCAAAACATACACTATTTGCTAGACACAATGAGAAATTTATAGCAGAATTTAAAAATAAGCTAAAAGTTCACTAAAGTGACTAATTAATTAACTAGCTTGAGTTAAAAAATAAGATATTTAGCAGATTTTTTTTTAGCATAACTGCTATAAAGTTTATTTATTCCCTTTAAAGTGTTCCACAGGGTAGAATTTGTGTCTTTAATAAAACTAAAAATATTTTTTATTAAAGAAATTAAACTATTTTATTGAAATATTTGGTGTGAACATGTTCATTTAGATCCATTTATGGTTTAGTCACATAGAAATAGCAAATACTATTCATGTTGTCATTTAAAATCTTTGTCCTATGAACACACTCTGCTGTCTTTAGGTAAAATGTTTGAGATATTTTTGCTGGAGTTGAATCTTGTAATTTAATAATTATTTCCTTGTGTAAAAATTCTTTTCAAATCATTAGCTGTGCAATATACAACTGGGGATATTTTTAGATTAACGTAGTATATTTTTACCAACCACCAATATAGTATTAAATTTTCAGTGATTTAAAGTTTACCATAGTAACCAAAATGATCAACTATGATATTTTTTTGCTTTAACAGCCTTTAAAATTATTTTATAGCACCTGCATGCGCAGCCTACAGCTGATAACTTTAAATC